CAGGTTGCGCCATCGCTGGGTGTAGGCCCCGCCCCCCCCCCCTACCTCCCAGTCCAGGTGCGGCGGTGCACGCTCCTGGCCTCTCTGGCCTGGCCTTGCAGCTGGGGCCTCACGCGCCCCCATCAATAGCACGGGCCTTGTGCTGGGGAGGGCGCCCCAGGGGGCTCTGTGCCTCATCACCAGCTCACCCCATCTCCTGCCAGGCAGGGCGGAGGGGGCACTGCCCTTCAAGCCTCTGCCTGCCTCTCTGTGCGCCTCGCTCGCTGCAGGGCCCCCAGGCACTTAAATGAAAACCACAGAGTCCGTTTCTGGAAGGGTTTTGTTTTGTTTGTTTGTAAGAGCTTCATATATATATTTTATATATAAATTATTAGAATGTGTGTTCGGGGTTCTGAGTGCATGGAGGACTTCATTGGGGTGTTTCCCCAGAGCTCTCTTTCTTGTTTTTCCTTTTCTCTTTTTAATGTTTTAAGTAAATATATATATATATATATTTATATATATATATATGCATGTGTGTGTGCGGGTATATATAATGTGTGGGTGTGTATGTGTGTACATATATACACACACACATACATATACACACACACACACTCACACAGACAGACTGAGATATACAACTGTGAGATCAGACACGCACGTGGGGACTGGGAAGTCACACATTGCTACGCAAAACTGCCACGTCTAATGGGATGTGCATGGATTAAAAGTACATCAACTGGAATAAGAGAGGGGAAAGAGGCAGCCACCATCTCGAACACAGTCCCATGGTGCTTTGCACCTGCTGGCCATACCTGTTCCCTCGAGGTGGGGGAAAGCACAGCCACCATCTTGAAAACAGTCCCATGGTGCTTTGCACCTCATAGCCAGGCCAGTCCCTCAGGGGTTGGGTGGGAAAGTAGAAGTGGCCATTTGAAGAGTTCCAATAGTGCTTTGCGTCTCTTTGCCATGTTCATTCCCAAAGTGGGTTCGGAGAGTAGGAAGCCACATTGGCCAGTTTCCAAAAGTCCCATGATGCTTTGCATCTCTAGGCCATATCTCACATCCAAAATAGCAGGGTGGGAGGCATTTTGAAAAAAAGTTCACATCAGGTTCTGAGGGTCTGCCTCTTGGCCATATCTGCTCATGCAGGGAAGCAGAAAAGGCTACCACCACGTATAGAAAGGTCCCATCATACTTCGTACTTTTGTTTTTTTTATTAGGTACAACCACTCTCTCAAAAGAGATTCTGGAACAGCAGCCATTTTGAATCCCCACAATTCCTTGTACTTCAAGCTCTTTGTCATATTAACTTTGTCTTTCTCAGTGCCCCTCTTGAAGTCATGCCATGGTTCCAAACATTTTTTAGGCATCTCACTCCCTCCCCACTTCTCTCCCCTCCTCTCTGCTCCCAGGATGGTCATCTTGTTCTTTCCATCCTTCCTTCTCTTTCACTGTGCTGAACAGGCCCAGGATTCATCACTCTGCAGCTTCCCCTCTCCCAAGATTTGGTTGATTGATTGTTTCTCTCTGGAGAGGGAGATGTGATGATATCATTGCAAGGGTTGAGTTTCATTTAAAGGGGTTTGTCACTTTCTTTCTTCAGGTGACTGGCAGAGGTGAAAGAAAAGGAGTACAGAGGACAAGAGGCAGAGAGAGGGGGGGGGGTGGAAAGAACACAAGTTTAATAAAGCAAATTGTACTGAGCCTTTTAGTAAAAATGAATCTGCCCCCAGTGAAGATACTGGCTCAAAACTGAATCCTTTAAAATTCTTAGGAAAGTAAAACCTTGTCTGTCTGCAAATCAGAGATAATTATTCCCTATCAGTGTACCGTTCCCAGTGCTGCTGCCCAGGGAAGGGTCCTTGCAGAGAAGAAGAGTTCAATCTCTATGAGCCTTTCAGTCCTTAACCCACAAGGGAATCAGTGAGGGTTAGTACCAATACTAGCTTTTGTCACATATACCTTTGTCTTCTTACGAACAGGGCCAAGACCCCACGTACTCATTTTGCCCAAAGGCCAATCAATACTTGTCATATGTGAATGGCATCCAATTATTACCATGGGCCTACAATGGAACTTGTGACTTACAAGTGAACATATTTAACCTAGACCTTGTGACCTAGAAGTGAACTCTGCGTGCCCTCAGAGTTCAGTTCAGACTACAGCCACTGCCCCAAACCAAAGGACTAACCCTCCTATTCCTTGACTGCACCAACTCTCCCATTCTTCAGCTAGATTTGAACTGGTGCCCAAGAGGTGAAAGTTAAGCATCCCATTTACCTAACCCTGAAAGGCTGTGGCTTCTTTTTACCTGTAATAATCCTCCTGTGTAGGAAGCGGCACTCCATGCAAAGGGTGATGGGCATGGAGCCACTGCTGCTGCTCCAAAGCCAAACGCTGCAGTTCTGCCGACTGTGCGTGCATGGCCTGGAGTTGATGAGCTGCTGACATGGGAGCAGAGAGAGATCCTGGCAGGTCCCTGTAGGGGGCAGCTGCATTCAGGGAGAAAGAGCAGATCAAGTCAACCTACCAGACCCATCCTTACCCATTCTCCCCTGATTCTGTCATGATGACCCAGCACAACCCACACCCAATCCACCCATGTCTATTCCACACCTGGGCTCCCTGTCAAAGTCCTGTCAATGCCCCTCAATTCTGACATGCTGGCCTCCTGATTTTCCACTCCCTGCCCTGCAACACTGCACAACTCTGTTCATGCATCTCCATTTGAACCTGCAGCCTTCCCTGTTATCTAATTTCTACCCTTTTGCGGTGTCAGTGCCCTTCACATGTGGCTCACAGCTGCCACTGGTGTTCTTACCAAAAAGCTGGTGGCGCAGCACTTCATTCTCATGGAGGGGGTGAGGAAGTAGTGGGTTGGGGATGGTACCAGCTGGGTACGGTATCCGAGTGAGATGTGACCCTGATGCCAGTGGGTCAATAAGGGGGTGAACAGAGGCTGAGGCTGGTGACAAAAAATACCAACTGGTTACTGGGTTGTGCTACCTCAGAAGCAAAGTAGGGAAATGCAGAAAGAAACAAAAGGGAAGAGTATAAGACAGACAGCCATACAGACTGACAGAAGACAGCTCTGTATTAGGGACAGATCCATTTCAAGATTAGATGATGCAGTTATTCAATTTTAGTATCATTCATTTCTGAACTTGCTCTTTGTGTCCTCACTATACAGCCAGGTTTGTGTAAACTGGCTCTGCCTGTCCATGTATACACCCCTCTTAGCTGCAACTATATATCTCAACATTTTGGCACTTCCTATGTTCCAAAGTGCCAGGCACATCTCCCTAAAGCTGGATGTGGATGCACGTATTGTAGCTTATTGCATGCAGAAGTAGGTCCTAGGAACAAAAATTTGTAGCTTTGCTGGACACTAAAAAACACAAAATTAACACAGACAATGATTTCATGACTCATTACAATTACTGTACCTACTCCCTCTGATAACTTCTCTGTATTCCACAAGTAATAATAGCCCTATTTCCTTTTGAATGGCTTTATGCTTTTTACAAAATTAGGTATAGCTATCTCAACTAGTCTTTATTCAGTCAGTAATTACATAGTTAAGTTCTCATTGCTCTACAGGTTCAGTGCACACTTTCCTTCTTAAGTGACAACTCTCACTTACATAATGAGATGTAAGCAGAGATAACCGCTCACTCAGGTATTTAACTTAGGCTGTATCTGCTTCTTTCCTGGACCTAAAGGACATTTTGTGCCCTATGGTTCATCTAATATCTCTCCAAACTATGTAGTTCAGCCAGTAAAAGATATGGTCAAACAAATCTTGCTTCTTGCACAACATAAGGCTCATGCACCA